ACAAGAATGTTTGTCCTATCTTAGTAATTAGAAATTTACCAAGCGTCTGCACCTTGTTGAAAAAAGTATCGTTCACGTGTCATCGTTCTTATTTGCACTTACATTTTTTATCATATCACCTCTTCTGTATATCGTCATCATTTTTGGCAGTTCGTTGCATTGTTACGTTACTATTGAACTTAGAAGAGCATCGCTGCGAATCTGTTAACAAACATATTGAAGCAGTCCGATTTCTGGATTTAACACTGTCGTTCAAATCCTCACAGATAACTAAACTAGTTTCATTTTAACTCGCTGACAAAGTTGAGAAACGATGAATGACGTGGAATAGCACTGTGGCACTCCTCGTTCCACAGTTTTCGATCCAGGCGGTGTACCATTTGCTCACTGTCTTCGACCAAAATTGGTCTCAAGCGAATCGTCTGATTCAAATCCTTGACGAAATTCATGAAAAGATAAGCAGACCATCACTATGAGATGCTGTTCAGTTTTTCGAAATTAGTAGACAGGATATTCTCTTGAATAATGGTTTTTATCCTATATTCAGCATACCCCGCAATTCGGAATTGTTGAACAACTTACCCTGTTATAAATATTTTTTGCATATTTACCTCCGTATTAGTTTAATCTACAAGTTGTTATTTAGATAAGCGTAGGTCTATCGACTAAATACCTTTACTATTGGAGAGTGATGCTAGTCAGTTATAGCGCACAATTCAAGGTGTGTGTTACGCGTTTATATTTCTGTTATATTTCTGTAAGTAGAACTGTTGTTTTTTTGTTGTTTTTCAAGGTTTGAATTTTTTTGAAACATTAATTAGCCATCAAAACGTGGCACAATGCTAAGAAATCGATTGTCAGATCGTCGTTTATAGTAGTGTGTGTGGGTATTTTACTACGTATGATGGTTTACCTTGAAAATAATCCCTTCTATTTTTGGCAACCAGCATAGTGAACAGCTCAAATTGTGTATTTTACCTAAATAGTTCTATTTAGTGAATAAGTTTGGATGGCACGTTGAGCTAACAACTTTGAGTTGGGTGTCCGTGGATCAACTTTATAAGATTAAGTGGTGAGAGTATATTGTACTGACGAATTATCACTCAGACAGAAAGATTCTAGTTACAAAACAATTGTTAATTGAAAGTAATACAATACCATTGCAATTACAGCTGTATTTGTAATAAATAATCTTCACAAGTCAAGTTATTTTCATAGTAAGGGGTTTTCACACTAGTTTTAATGTAAAAGTGTTGGGGTTAAGCATTACGAGTTGTACTAGAGTTTACAGTTAGGCTCCAAATATTTTAAAAGCCAGATATTCCCAGTTTTCACTTGGCTAATAATAACATAAACGTTATCTATCACTTCACTTTTAACTTCGCACTATTCTTGTGTTATCTTAATTCTGGTTAACCTAAAGTCGTTAGCATACTATACTTTTGCCTGTTTTACTTTATTTATTTACTTAAACACATAAACATTAGTATAAGGAGTCAGCAAATATATATGCGCCACAAAAATCATTCGATTTGTGTTAGGGCTGGGATACTGCCCGGGTGCCCAGACCGGCGGTTTTCTTAGGAAGTCACAACCGGAGCTTTCAATCTGAAGGTCTAATCCACAAGGCAGTGGAGCAAAGTAAGGAAATGCAGTCCCATGGTAGCCAGTGATGAACAATTGGTTCATACGCCATTTGTTTCCTTAGGATCCTGGAGTCCATGTGGAATATTGGTTTGGAATGAGGGTTTTCCAACTCTCTTAAGTGAACTCTCCGTGTCCACTAATCCTGTTGAAATGCCAAACATCCGCTTTTCGTCTTCTCAATTTTGTTAACAACAGTAATCCTGTGGGAAGGCAGTGAGTAAGACTTCCCTGGCTGTGATTGTATGCGCGTGGCCATGTGAGAGCGTTTTGAGAAAGAGAGCTAACTCTCCCCACTCTCGGCAGTACCAGAGCATTTGCAGATAATCCGGTGTGTATTATGGAGCATCCAACTCCGATATCAGCCGTTTAGTTTTTAACAACGTAATCAGACGTTGGAAATCCCAAAGAACAAAGAGTCTATTATTTGTACCCGGCAAATTTTTTAGGTAGTATCAGTTAAAATGATAGGGGAAAAGATGTGTTTGCCCTAGTCGAATGCTGACCACATGTTCTTGTAACACATCTAAATTTTTAACTGATTTTCATATAAGCAGGCGTTAGTGAAACTTCTTTCTAGAGTATTGCATTCTCATGATAGGGGCAAGTAATCAGTTAGTGCTTTAGGTCGGAACGAATGAAAAATCGTCTATCTGCTTCTTCGAAAGCTAGCAATATTTGTTGAGTCATCTAGATGCCTCGAATCACAGCAGAAACGAAAATCGGCATATTATATCTAATAATTGGCCTTGCAGAATATTTTACTTTGGAGGCCAACAATATGCTGTTATGTGAGTGAAATTGTAAACAAGTGTTTGTGTTTGTACTATTTTCATAATTTGAAAATGATACTGTGTCTATTCGACTAGGGTGTCGAAATAATCCCCTAATTTGTGTGACACAGTGGTTGTTGTTGTGTGTTCTCATGCAGAACTCTATCGAAAATACTCACCAGTACTATTAGCTCAGCTTAGATTATCAATAAACTCTGTGGATTCTTTCCGCTGTTCGTATTTTATGGTTGATAAAAAGCCTTTCTGAGTTTTTGATTATGCCGAAGCCCAGTTAGGTTGTTCAGAATAACAATCGAACAATCACAACTCAGTTACATAAATCTTACATGTGTTAAGTTCTTGCGGAGTTTTAATGTAAAATCGCAACTACTTTTCTTTGTTGTTAGTTTTGTAACTGAACCAATCAATGTTTGAGCAGCACCAAAGCCAGACTAGTGTTAAGGACAGATCTTACTTTCTTGTGCTAGGAAAGTTGTTTGCTTTCAGAACGTTTCCCAGTGAAGGTTTGACTTTAGTTGTGGTCTTGAGTGCTGTTGGAAGTACGAGGTTGGTTATCAGTTCCCGGTTGCCCACTAATTCTTTCTTCCTGTACTATGTCTTTATATGCAATCTTTCTTTTATATATTACCACCACTGGATTAATTACCTCTATGAATCCGGTGTTCATCTTGTTGTGCTAATGCAATCTTTCTTTTATATATTACCACCACTGGATTAATTACCTCTATGAATCCGGTGTTCATCTTGTTGTGCTAATGAGGCATGGCAACTTGGACCGATGCGCATATGTGCCTGATCCTACGTTGTAGCTGACTGACTTTGACTCTAATAATCTAAATAAATCAAAGAAATACATTTATTTTTTATGCCTTAGTGTCATACTACGTGTTTATTAGACCGTGAAATCAATTTATTTTTACATATGAGGACACCTAATCCTCTAGCACCAGTTGGATCCTTAGTTGTACTGAGGGCAAATGTGAGGTTCTGTAAGACTTATCAACATCTTATTTGATGATCTTATGGGGTCAAACGATAGGAATAACAAAGATCTAATACGAGGGTAAGCAGAAAATCCATGGTCTTTTATGCGTTTCTTAACATCACATCCATACTTTGATGTTTACTAGTGTTCATTGAAGTACGTTCGTCGGGTCCCGTGTATTGATCATATAAGAAAGCTTGCATTTTGTAAATGGCGTGGTTTCGCATTGCAGCAGTTAGCTTGTGTAAAGTTTATGTAGTAATTATAATTTTTAAAATCTCTTGATTTTGGTTTCCTCACTATTTATGACAGTTCGCCACATGTGCTTTAGTAGTGTTTTATGTACCGCAATGGTTAGTAAATCATTAGAAGGTACTGATGCACCCACTGGATACTAAGAATATCATCCCTATAAGTAGAAAGAAATTAACAAGAAAATAATATCGATGCCACGTCACATGTGACCATACACTTTTTATTCGTGTATGAACTGACAAAAAGGTGATGACGTGTTAAAGATGGGAACTTCTTCGTCAACCTTTTCGTGCAATCGTAATTTAATATTTATTGAACGTGGTCCATTGACTGAAAACACGTTTATAACTTAGCTTTGAGTTCTACACTTTTTGAGGGACGAAAGTATTACCCGGTTCTCCCAGCTTAACTAGGTGGAGGGAAATTCGGAACTGTGACCTATCGGTTGGAAGCAGACCACCTTAGCTAGTAAGCCTTCAAAGATAATAATAAACAGTTATTATCAGAAGAGTATAAGGACAGTTGGAATTTCTGCCAGGTTGCAATTTTCAGTAACCACATGTCACTCGACATCAGTATTTTTTACACAGACGGGATTATTGTTGTTCTCACTTTTCATGAACAGTTTTATGCTTCTGTAATTTGAACACTAGTTCATTGATTCGGTTAAAACATCCACCTCACTATCCTTCATTTAATGTTGGCATTCGAGTAGTATTGTCTTTTACTTATAAGACACAGATAATATGCCGGTATACAAGGTCTTTTTTAGTTTTCAAAATACATTGGTCAATTAATTAAGTCTGGCACAAACAAATTTCAGGTTTTCAGAACGATAATTTTATACGAATCCTGAGGACTTATTCATATTAATTTTTTCTATTAAATTCTCTTCGAATGAAACGATATATTTGCTTATCATACGTCAATTAAAGCATGATTGGTTGGTATAAATGTCATTGTTCCGCTTATATTTGTTCAGTTTTGTGAAAATTTATCCTCAATTAGAAATGGTAGTTGATTTCTTATTTGCAAGAATTTATTCTTGGGGTTTATATGATCTAGATCTGAAAAGTATTGTGTAAATTTTCCTGTTCAGGAAATATCATTTTCATTGGATTCTCAGTTACTGTATTTCAAGCTATTACAAACTTATACAAAGTTTGGATTCGATTTTTACTTTTCTATTCTGAAAGTGTAATCGCACTGTTGATTTCGGTACTCGGTAGTTCAATGGTGTCATACGCTAATACTATTCCTGGTAGTTTATCTTAAAACTGTTTATCTTTTTTTTTATTTCAAGCAATTACTACTGATTTAACATGAGTAACTCAGTGTTAGAAATGAATTTCATTCGTTTACTATACTGTACCGAATGTCTAGCAGCACAGAAACAATTAGGAACCACTTACAAGGACTACGTAAAAACTCTTGAAACATTTTTTAATACATTGACTTCATCAAATCATCGTCCTTCTCCAGAAAATATACGTAAATATGAAATAAGGGTAAGTTCATTGGCATTTATTTCAATATTTCACATATCGTCCGTCAATTTTTTTCAGTGTGTTATCTTATCTCTTCCACATTTATCAATGAATAATCATTTCCTGTAACATTTCAATGGTCTAATGGTTCTCATTAACTCTCGTCGAATTACCAAATGCCCTGGTACGGCCGAGAGTGGGGAGAGTCCGCTCTTCCTCACGAAATGCTCTCACATGGCCACGCGTATATAGCCTCTGCCAGGGAAGTCCTACTCACTGCATTCTCGTGGCGGGGGTGTTGTTTACGAAAATGAGAGGACGAAAAGCGAATATCCGGCCCTATAACCGGATTTCGAATCAATGGTGCACATGGGCTCCAGTATCCTGCTGGAACAAATGGCGTATGAACCAATCGTTGGTCACCGGCTACCATGGGACTGTATCTCCTTACGATGCTCCACTGCCTTGTGTATCAGACCTTCAGGTCAAAGGCTCGGGGTGTGGCCCCCTAAGAAAACCACCTTCGGTTCGGGAACCCGGACAGTATCACAGCCCTCACACATATCGAATGAGATTTGTGTGGCGCATATGTATTTGGTGCCCTCTTGTACCAATATCTATGTGTTAAAATAAATAATAAATACCAAATAAATATGGTTCATGTAGTTGAGACTAATCAAAATATATGTATACTAACGCGCTTTATGAATAGCAGACCATGTTTATTGATATGTTGATGTAGATAATTCTCATTGGCAGGTTTGCTTAATTGGTGTTATAATACAAGTTAAAGCACTAGATTTTTACTTATCCGAACTTAAACCAATAGATAAACAGAAGCAATGTAAGTTAAAATCTCGATTCATTGATATTTCCAGTTATTATGAAGCATCTGGAATATCACAGTCGAAAATGATATCTCAAGATCACCAAGAAGCTTTGCAGAGTGAAAACATCGTTATCCTTCTGCCTGATTAAAGCTCAGGAGTAGTTTTTTATAGAAAAGAACAAGTATCTAAATAAAGTCAAGTTAGTACTGGATGATCCGTCGAAGTTTCTAGTTGGTCGGGGGAGGACTAAAGGTTTAACTGTGAGGTAACGTAAAGACTCTTCACGAATAAGTCAAAACACTTCCTGAGAAGGAAATTAATCGACAATTGCATACAGTGAACTGAATCAATAAGGTTTCAGATCACCTTAAATATATGGTCTACCGAAGGCATATAAATCTGATGTTACTCTTATACCGATACTATCAATGATCAATCCTCCAGTTCGCAAACTCATCCGGTCGTTAGCGAATCATTTCGGAGTCATTTGTTCGAAATTATCTGTATGGAGCTTAAAAGATACCTTTAATTCACTAAAATGCTAGAAAATGTTAAGATCCCTGGAAAATTCATAGTTTCATTTGATATCTCATTATTATTTACAACAATCCTACTATATGAACACAGTGGACTTCTTTTGTTAAAAGATGAGTTCAAACAACTCTTACCAATATACACTAAAGGTGTGCATTGATTAATTCAATAATACTTTGTGTCGACAAGTTGACGGAGTTGCAGTAGATAGCCCATTGGTACCAGTTATAACAGATATATTTATTGCAAACCTAGAACAAACAAAAATGAAGCCGACGGTTAATGAAACAGAACTGTATGTCAGGTACTTTGACGATACATTTGTTCTTTGTAATAATTATAACCATGCTTCCTATATGCTGAATCTTCTCAAAAAAGAACACCCTAATGTGTATGGTTTACCACGGAGCAGAAATATGGTGACGAATTTCATTTCTTTAATATTAGTGTTCAACGCTGATCAAACGGTCAAACAGAAAGATATGTCGATTGGAAAGGCATTCAAACTAGGCTTTATTTAAATTCCGATAGCCTCTGTCCAAGAGGTTACTAAAAGTTTTTAGTTAGAATACCGTTTTACTGCATAATGAAACTGTTCGGAAGACATTGAACAATAATTAAGCACAATTAAAAAGTGTCTGTGAGATTATGGATATCCACAGAAATTTATCACTAACAATGAGAAAGCACGAGAAAAGGGAATGGGATTCACTATGATAAGGAAAAAGCCAGTCTTTTGACGACTTAGCGTTAGAAACTAGTTTCTGTGTCAAACACATTGCTCATCGAGACAAAAAATGAACAAATCCCCATCTTATGTTACCGCCAATTGTGTTTATCAGTTTACTTGTTTGTGCCAAAGCACTCATATTCAAAGAACATAAAAGACGGTTCTTGTTCACATCTCGGAACAGAGCACATTTCACAATAATTGAGATTAAGAGGTCAACGTATTCCCAACAATACCATTGAAAATAATCAATACCGAAATAATTTCCAATCTACTACGTGGCGCCGAAGCCATTTCAATTTAAGAGTTGGAACGAAATCTGTACACTAAAAACGATACAGTTGTAAATCACTATCCTGGTAAATTTTATTTTTCATGATTCAATTAAGTCACGTTTTATTTCATATTCACAATAACGAATCCCCTTATCATTCTTAGGTCTTTCTGAGCTTTACTCATCTTACTCTACTATTCTATCAAATAGTATGGTTGTTATTACGCAGCTTTGACATCAATATTCATTCTCCAGAAACGTGTCTGCATGTTTTTTGTAACAGGTCTTATGTTGTTTAAGACCGATTAAAGGTTTTAAACCTGGACAATTATTTGAATCAGAGCTTAAACTTTCATATGAATTCAGTACATCGACCATTACCTGGTAGGATTATTTACTTTCTTAGTTTCTACATCTATTGTCATAGCTATGTTTCTAGGCATCACTTTCATCATCTAACTGTGCCAGACATTAATGTAATTCAAACTTCTTTCCACCTGCTTTTTGAACAGAGATGGCCGATTTTTGTTTTGTAAAGAGTGTTAAGATTCAGCTTTCTGTGACAGTCCAAGAATGTCAATGGTGTTTAATCGCCTTCTAATGATAAAGCGTTTTTCATGTCTGTTCTACGTCTCCGCATAGTTTGTCTTATCCTGAATGTTTCTTCAGCTGTAATTGACTGGTTGCTGATATAATCTCGTCATGAATATAATGTACTGATTTGGCTTTTGCCAAGTTACAGGTGACATTTCATTCTAAATATCAGAAGTCAGTTATACCATACATTGTTTCTTTCACTATTACTTTGCAAATGTGGAACGTAGTTTTTTTTAAGAGGAGCTCTTCAATTGTCAATCTGGCTTTGATAAAACCATCGAATGGTTATGTATTAAGTATTCTTAGTCACCACTAACTCAATTTGTATCACTATCAGCAGAATGGTTTGGTTAAAACGCTAATAGTCTTCAGACTAATATATATCATCCACCAATGGAATCGCTGGTTATTCCTTCAAGCCGTGTAGGAAGCATCAGATATCCTAAACGAAGTCTACTAATTAATCACAGTCTTATATTACAGATTTAAATTTATTCAGTAAATATGCATTCCGTGTTTTTAATATCTTTCATTCTCTAATCTCACTTGGTTCCCTCACTATTTTAAATTTTTAAAGTTGTGTGTATTGTTATTTTCGTTTCTCCCTTGTTTGTTCCGTCACTATATGTAATTATGTGAATTCTGATAATATGAACTGCTACACACATGGAAGGGATAGTCTTACGGTTCAGCTCCTATGCTTTCAACTGTTACGCCGTAGATTCCGGCCTCATTCCATCCATTTCGGCTTGGGCGACCAGGTAATATCACTAACCCTCACAAAAAATGTAAGTTTATCCTTCAGAGCTGATTATATTAAGATCATGTAGTTGGCAAGTTGATTGCGTATTTTCGGTAGGCTCAGTTCGCCTTTACCAACTTTCATCGCTTGTGGCGTAGGCGGGATGTCCGTTTGTGCAACAATCCTCACTGCATTACTATTGTGGGGGGGGGGAAGCATAGTCCTTGAAAGTAGAAATTATGGGTTGGATTCCTATTTTTTGATAATAGGTATCTTCAAAGCGATGCTGAGGTTAGGCTTAGGCATAAAGTACTTGGCAAAGGTGGAAAATCTGATGATAAGTTAGTAAATCCTCATCAGCTGGGGTGGATAGAACATGTGTTATATATCCCAAGTCCACATACCTTCACAGCCGATGTTTGCTGGTATAGGAATGGGCTGAAAGAAGACCAGGGAGGGCCAAACCATGACTTGACATATAAGACCGTGGCTATTGTTCTGAACCGTCCTTGTAGATACAGACCAAGTGGTTGGGTTCCGCGAAGTAACGGCGATTAATGGCTGGAGACGCTGGGTGATATGGCTCATAGTCATTCACAATGGTGCAGATGCATTTACTCTTTATCTTCCTCTAGATAATGAATTCCAATATTCTTTTATCCACACCTTTCTCCTCTTATCTTTCCCAATAATATCCTCAGTCTTTCATTGTTATTGCTGCTATATTATTCTGATCTCTTTTGCTATTTATCGTGTTAATTTCATCTGGTCGTTCTCATTTAGTATGGGGAGTTGGAACAACACACGTCTATACTAGGTTATACGTTAATAAGGATTAACTGGCTGCCAGTCTCCGTGTTTTTTAATATATGTGTATTTACTTAGAGTGATAGTGGTAAAATGTTTAAAAAGGAATTATTTGTTTTATTTTAGCTAAAAAAGTTAAAGCAGACTTGCGATACAGTAGAAAATTCGAATGTACAGTCTATTCATCATCATCATCTGTCACGTAGTGAAATAATTGCAACTTCTAAAATGAATGAAACCTCTCCTGTTAATCATGATGTCAATAAGGAAGATGTAATTGCTCCTGAAATAAATAACTTATCATGTAATAAAAACGATACTGTATGCTCTGAAATAGACAATCAATCAATTATTCAGGGCACATTTACTGATAGATGTGATTTGATCGCAAAAGAACGCCAACGTATAAATAGAGAGTTACGAGAGCAATTATTAGGTAGGTATTCGTATATACCCCATGTTCCCATTCAAACAATCAATTTATGATGTAATATCCTGAGTCACCTATCAGCTCAGTTCAGCTGCCAGCGCTGATTTATGCTTAAACACAGTATGCAGTACGCTAAAGCGTACTTTTTATTGTTATCAGATATTACATTAATCATGAGTTTGTCTTAGTGTCCGATTGGGTGTGCTGATAGAAATTCCTCTTGAACTGTTATGAGTAAAGAAACTGTGGGCTTTATAGTATTACCAATCAAATTCACGTCCATAAAGTTCTGTAACATTGTAATTTACAAATAGCAATAAGTCCATATTCAACAATGTTCTACTACCTGGAGAGAACACTGAATTCAAAAACTGCATATTAACCTTTAACATGAATCCGTATATTAGCTACTAACAAAAGTCTTAGAGTTGTAGAATACGCCTGTCATTGTTTACAACTGGGTGTTCCTATTCTTCAATGTAATAGTTTAGTCCACAATAAAAGTAGACCGTACAGACGAGCTAATCAGTCTATCGAATTTCCGATGGATAGCTTATGTTTTACAGATAGTGATGACGACCTTGAATGACTTATTAGTCAATCAAAAAATATCATCTAGATATTGAACAATTTATAATTAAAAAGGTTATAATATTTCAATAGATAAATCGTTTTGCAGTAACTAATAAACTTTTAAATTACTTTGAACAAAAGAATGGTTAGTGTTAAAGGCTAGTGTTAGGGTTAGAAGTCTGGTATACAGTTAAGAGTTGAGGTTAGAAAGGGAGAACGTTTTGTAATTATAGGGATAAAACATAGTTTAAAATAGTACGACCTAGCTATTCAGAGATAAGTTTCAATGACATTCCATCATAGCTTTATTAAATCTGTTGTGTTTCTTAAACAATTACCATAAAAAGGTGTCTTAAAATTACAGTAATCGGAAGAAGGTTGTCTCCAAGTTATTCACCAGTTAATGACTTCGGAGGTCTACGGTTCGATCCCTGACGCTCCATGAATGGGCACTGTCTCATACTGGGATATAACAGCTGTCCAGTTCACTTAAATAAAGTCATCAGTGCATGATGTAAATAATCCTCAGATCAATAATGCCTCATGTATTCTATGAAGTGAGCTTCGTATTTATTTTACGAGTTAAATAAGTTTGTTTGGATGACTTCAATCGTGATCGGTTATCCTCGTAGGTTCCATTTTGTCGAGAGCAACAATGAAAGCTTCGCAATTAAGCCAGTTTAGCTCTCACAACTCAGTAATACCGAAAGTATCCATCTGAGTTGTAAATCTACTCATCATTTCACAATTAATCATGTTTAAATTATGTACGTTATTTGCCTTTCTCAGGTGGAAATAAATCCAGCGACAAAAAATCATTAAATCATAGTAAAAATGAAAATCTAACTCATTCCTCTGGACTTCTTCGTGAACAAGAAATTCAACGTGAACAATTAGCTTCAGAAATGCTGCTATTAACAACAGATTTGAAAAACCAATCTTCTGCAATGAGTCAACGAATTCGTCTGGATTGTGAAACTGTTGATGCTAGTATTGGACAAGTTGAGCGAAATACCGCAAATCTTCATGGTGTATTAAATGAATTATCATTAGAGCTTGGTTCCAAGTGTGGTCGAATTGTATGGATTCTATTTTTTATTGCGTTAGGTTTATTTTTATACATGATATTATTTATGAAAATGTTTCGTAAACGAGTTATTCAATCAAATTCTGTTTATTCTCCTAAAACCGAGTTATAAATTGTTATAGAATTTGCATATTATTGTTGAGGTTAATTGCCCCTGTCAACAAAATACTGGATTTTTTAATGGTTTTCGCTCCTGTGCTTCAAACTATACTGTGATATATATTGTCAAAAGTCATGTGTAATTAGTCTCTCTTCTTATTGGCTGATCTCTCTTCTCCAAAATCATGTAAATGCCATATGTATACAGTGATGTTTATTTATTTCATTGGGTTCTTTTTGTTGAAGTATAAAAGCTCTTTTGTAAAGTAAAGTCTCCTCTCTTCCCCATTTGCATAGAGTTTTCATAACTGACATGTGTCGTTGTACATTACTGACCTTCTAACATACCTAGTCAGGTTGAATGCGATGTTATATATTCATACTGACTTGTGACACATGTTTCTAAATAGTTGAGATTTTCTGTTTCCCCGAGAAAACGCATCCTTTTTCATTAATTTTTGTGGAGTGGTAGATTCTCGGTATGATAAACATTTACCATCTGTTATTTGATCACCTATATCTTAGCGAACAAGCAAATACATCGTAGGTTTTCTAACTCAAGGCCTAACTTGTACCCTCTGTTAATAGTCTACTGTCTGTCTACGGTACAAATTCATTACACATAACAGGAAGCTCTATCATATCGTACACATTAACTTTAGTCCTTGTGACAAATTCAACTTACTGAGAGTGCAATGTAAAATGATAATAACAGCTATAAACACAATAGGAAAGTACGAGTTTACATTATTCAACCTCAGCTTAAGTAACAATGGTTGATATTTGATTCATTCACATATGTCCCCAATACAATCTTATGCATAATTTAGTACAAATATAATTATTTAACAAATACAAAATTCAATCAGAGTTGAATTTCGTCTAAGGTCAAAATCAGTATAGTTGGATTTTAGGTTATTTGACAATAAGTGATCATTTAGAAACGCTTAAAATGTACGCGAATATTTGGAAAACTTACTCAAATTCCACCAAATACGTTATCGCTTCGGATAGTACTTCGCTTAATTTACTTCCAGGTACTAGGGTGCATAGTTAAATCACCCACACAAAACAATCTATTTCGCTAACATTTAATAACCCTAATCCAATTGGACGTTCTTAGTGGCCCTAAATCTTGCTCCAATTAAATCGTATGATGATTTGTTGTCGAAATATTCATACCACCAACCCTCGTATATGATTAACGACTTAAATTGCGTCAGTGAATAGCGGAATCAAATAAGTCAAATATGAGGATAAATTTTAAATTCGTATGTTTCATACAATTGTGCATCTGGACAGACAATCAAGGAAACGAAGCGAGACGGATAGGAGAAGGCATATTCTCCAATCATAAAGAACTTTACATTGGAATTACTATTACAATTATTAACAATTCATTGACAGTCAATAAATTCACCCATAACATTTCTTTTGAAATTATTGCTGTATATTCGCCTATATAAACCCAAGGTGAGTCTCATATATTTCTTGTTGTTATTTTTGATTTCCTCATATTTTATATTTTAATTCTCAGCTTATTACTATTGCTATTGTTATTATTTCTTCGTATCATGTCACTTGGTAATTCACTAAGCCTTTCATCTAAGTCTATTCCCATGGGTGCCATCTCTGTACCTTTACCTGTCTTTAATCTCCGAAAGGCTGAACTCTGGTTTGCACGCTTAGAAAGCTATTTTGTTGCAAACAGAATAACAAGTCAGAGCACGAAATTTGCTTACGCAAACTCATTGCTGCCGGACGACGTTATTGACCAAGTGCCTGACGTCATTTTTAAGCCGGATCCAGACTCACCATACGATTGTCTAAAAAGAAAGGTCATTCGTATTACATCTCTCACCGACCAGCAGACAGTTGGTCAACTTTTAGCTAATATAGAGCTGGGTGACAATACACCATCTCAATTAAAACGCCACATGACAAATTTATTATTAGTAGATAAACGTCCATTATATCAATTGTGGCTCAGACGTCTCCCACAAAACATCCAACAGATACTAGCAATGGGAGACGAAGATGTCGATTTTGATAGGCTAGCGGACATAGCCGATAGAATTTACGAGCGGACTAGGACTCACTCCGTATCTCACATACAATCGAGCTCAACTGACGAGATCGCTGAGTTACGACGAACAGTTGACGTCCTCACTAAAAAGATAGCCCAGCTCCAATTTTTGAATACTTCCCACAGTAAGTGTAGAGGAAGATCCAGAAGCCGTAGACGTCGTAGTCCAAGCACTACCAGACATAACATTTGTTGGTACCATAGGACGTACGGTAAACAAGCTAAAAGGTGTACTCCTCCCTGTAACTTCGCAAGCACACAGCAAAGGGAACGTCAAGGCCGTCGGTTAGTGGCGACTGCAGTCGCTGGCCACAACTCTCAAGACAGTCGTTTGTTATTGTAAAATGTGATTGATAGACGAACCCACCAATAATAAGGGAAACGCCCACCACCACATCAACTCCTTTTGACCTTGTACGACTGTATCTCTTTGTTAACCAATCACAGTTTAATGTTCATTGTAAAACAATTTTGGCTTGTTGACTCATTTTTCCTATTCTCTAGCTACTGTTCGGTATGTTATTTGTGTCTGTTTTTCTCTGTATTAATCGACTGTACTGTTTGTTTGTACGCTAACGATGTTAATTTATGTTTTAGAAACAGATAAAGTTTATATAGCCAAATAGCTTACTTGTTCTGACTTTGGCTAAACCAAGACTCTGTACTCGACAGTCTAGAGATTAGCTTAGAGTTGAATCTGTAGGAAATTGCTTCCTACAAAGTTTCGAACAGTACATTCGATATACCTACTGAAATGACTTCCAATAAACACTACGATTCCGATGAGATTCCAGAATTATCACCACATCATTCAGGAGTTTATGATGAGGATCAACTTGGGAAGAACGAACTCAAAAACAACAGCATGATAGAACTAGAGTTAGCTAGGTTGCGCATAATCCAGTTAGAAAAGGAAATTGAACTAGAAAAATTACGCTGCCGGAGATGTGAAGGTTCCGGCCAATCAGTAAGCAACAGTGAGAATACAATATTAAAAAATCTGTATTTACCAAAAAGAGAAGTCGTAAGGTTTGATGGTACACCGACAAATTATTGGAATTTCATTAGAAATTTCGAAGAATGCATTGGGAGTGAGAATATTGGATTTAGAGCTAAGCTAAATTACTTGATTCAATATTGTGACGGAAAAGCGAAAGCCGCTATCCTTCATTGTACTATACTAGAACCAGAGATAGGTTACCATCAAGCCCTAAAGCTTTTAGAAGAAACGTTTGGCCAAAAACACGTCGTAGCACGCACGTTTATCGATAATTTGTTAAACTTTCCCAATATAAGGAGAAATCAACCAGATGGTTTGAGAAGAATATCTCGAGAAATGCAAGCATGTAGTTTGACTCTCGAACAGATGAATTACGTTTCTGATTTGAACTCTTCTAGAACTATTGAAACTATGGTTCTGAAATTGCCAACGCACATTCAACAAGAGTGGCTAAAGGTAGCTTATAAGATTATCAGAGGAGGCAGAGAGCCTCTGTTTACCGATCTTGTTGAGTTTGTAAAGGAGCAAGCTGATATAGCTAATACTAGATACGGCCTACTCGTCAACCGCGGTAGTAATAGTGACAATAGAGATGTTGGCGTTTTAAAAAGGAAAATTAGTACAGATTACAATGCAGCAAGAATATCTTATGCGAGTGCTAGGGATGATAATGCTCTCTTACGCAGTTCATCTTGTTTGGAGTGCTCCAGTAATCATTCTTTAGATCAATGTCAGAAATTTAAAGACAAGAATGTTAGAGAAGGGAAGGAATTCGTTCTTAGACACAAGTTGTGTAATGTATGCCTGAAGGCAAACCACGTAGCAAAAAACTGTCGATCGCCGAGGTCGTGTGCTGTCGAAGGGTGTGGCTGGAGACACCATACTCTGTTACATGAGTTGCGGGAAGAACCAAGGAATACTAATATTGATGCACACATTAACACCCAGCTATGTACGGAGAAAAGTGTTGAGAGTGTACAGAAACAAGCAGCATTCGCAATAGTGTCTGTACTGGTAAGAAATGGAGAAAAGGTAGCACAGACTTGCGCCTTCTTAGATAGTGGGTCGGATGCCTCTCTTATTACAGAAGATCTAGCTAAAAGATTGAATTTAGAAGGAGAGCCTAAGACGATTTCGTTGAAAACGTTGGATAACCATTCCACAATTCAGTGTAAAGAGGTTCAACTAGAGGTTTCATCCTTAGACTCGTCTTCGTCATTTAGAATCCCAAACGTATGGACAGTCGAGAGATTACCTATGTTGCGCAGGACGGTACCAACGACGTCTCAAATGAAATCCTGGACGCATTTAAAAGACATAAGCTTTCCTAGAGTAGAGGATGAGAATGTCGAACTGTTGATCGGGTGCAACGCACCGAGTGTACACGAAATGAAAGAGGTAAGGACTGGAAAGCCGAATGAACCATTCGCCGTGAAGACTCCGTTAGGTTGGACGCTGTTCGGTTCCTATGGGGAACCCTATAAAAGCAATCGTGTACTCAATCACCTCTCAGCTAAAGAGGAATTAGAGGATAAGTTTGAACAATCGTATTCAACTGAATTCAAAGACCTACTTAGTCGTACTTCATCGATGTCTATGGAAGATCGTATAGCATTATCAGAATCTGCATATGGTGTCGCGGAGTATACTCGTCCCGAAGATGTCTCTCGTCAAGTTCATTGTTCGTTTTTATTAACTAAGTATAAGGTTGTTAAGCCAAAAACTGAAGCATCATCTGCTAATAAATCCAAACCAACTCTAAGAAAGCTTAAGGAAAAGAAGGACATCAAACTGAAAGTGAAGACTACGAAAAGGCCGAAGACCACTGTAACGAAGAAGCCAGTAACTAAGACCCTGAAGAAGCAGGTAGCACATATTCGCCGTGGTATCGAGGATGGTGTTGAGAAAGACGCCCTTGCACGAGTTG